GCCAGCCGATGGGGTTAGTGGAGGTTAGTTTCTGCAAGCAAGATCAGTATTTACCCTCTAGCCAAAACTTGCAACTGATTCACGCCTAGCACAACTTGCATTTGTCTGTTTGCGTGTCTGTATGTACCTCTAACTCTATATGCATCTATCTATCTATCTATCTATCTATCTATCTATCTATGTAATTATGTATGTATGCATGTAGGTGTTCGTGCCAAACAAGAACCAACAAAAGAAATGCACCAGCCAATAATGCCTAAATACCAGGGCGGCATATGTCGCGCCAGCAATGAATGCCTCGCATACAGCCATGTAGAGCTATGTATTGCCAGCGCGGCTTATTGTAGCGAAGCAGTTGAGGTTGGCGGGATGGAACTGGTTTGGCGTGCATTTGCATGATTGTATTGAATCGCACTCATTCTATTCCAGTTTCATTGTTCAATCAATCCTTGCCAGATGGTCCCAGTAACCAATTTGTTTTATCAAGCAATGTGAGGGAGCAACCTGATTCATTCTGCGATGCAGCCTCCAGTCCATGGGCCCTTCCCTGCTGATTCGCCAACGCAACCTTGGCGACACCCAACAACATCAGACGTCCCTGGACTTAGTGGAGTAAACCTGTTTGGTTTCGCACAGGAGTAGGTCAAGTGACCTGAACGGCATATTGTGAGCAAATTTAAAATTTCAGGTGGCCCTGACATGACTCAAAGCTTCAAGAATCAAGTTCAGCACAGGGCAGAAAGCGAGGCCAAGGGCAACGCACTTGGACAGTGAACCCTGTTAAACAGAGAATCGAACAACAGCGGAAGGCTTGCAGCCCTAGGCTCGGGCCAAAATACCAAAATGTCAAAACACTAACTCCGCCCAAGGTCTGCAGGCCAAGAAGTCCCAGAAATGCCAAGGCACCACCTTCTGGACCTTCTCACCCCCCAAACAGAAAATCTAACAGAGTTCGAAGCCAGCAGCCTGGCGCCTCAACTCGCCCATGTTCAAACACACTCCACTCCAAAGTCTCCCGCCAAACACTTGAACAGTGAGCTGTGCAAGAAGGCTCGACCCGATGTCTTCGGGTGCGTTTTCTTCATGTTGATGTCATCCGTTTGCGAGTTTCAAAGTCTTTCAATGTGTCAATGAGATACTTGGAGCACTTGGACGCTGCCAGACTCCGAGAGAGAGCGGAGGAGAGACTGAGAATCCGAGCGCTTTTCAGGAGTTGATGAGACAAAAAAAGGGGACGAAAGATTCAGATAAACTAGCAGCTTGCATCAATTGCCAGTGGCTGGTCTTGCCGTGTGTGTTCAGTGATCGAATCATTTGTTCCCCTGCCTTACAAGTGAGTTTCACTTTGTTTGGTGTCGGAAGGTGTTACTGTTACTATATAGTTCTTTATAATTCGTTTCAGACCAACATATTAATCTTAATCTCTCGAAAGATACTGTGAGAGCCTCTAGTACCATATCGGTTCTGGATGTCACAAAGTCTTGAATCTTGCAATGTGTGCTCGAGGCGCTTTGTTCAAATGCCGATTTTGACACTGGAGTACCCAACTAGAGTCAAGTCATTGACAGGACCCGTCCAAGACACCAACTGTGGAGGTTGGAACTGCTGACTTTGCTATGGAAGGAACAGGATGCATTGAGCATGGAGTGGTTGGAGCCGACACTGATTTTGACATTCGGATACTCTCAACTCACCACTTGAAGATATTGGTAGTTTTTAAATGGTGTTAAGATGTTCTTCGACTACAGTACAGATAGGCTCACTATGTAGAGTGTGAATGTATTGAACTGGTTCAAGATGAGGAGCGTGAATGCATAGACATGAAATGAGGACATGTATAAATAGTATTAAATAGTTATAAGTTATATAATATATATATATATATTTGTGTTTTGTTTGTTTAGATATTTACATGTTTATACACCAGATGCAGTCTATGTTACCTTGGTAGAGGCATTCTCTTGGTCATGCTACTCAATTCATATCCACCCACAGCATACTCAATGAGACTGCGGGTTGTTGCAGCTAGGCACCCACCATGTGGAGGAGGCCATCCTCGTGTGCCACAGAGGCTCAAGAAAGTTTGTTATAAAGATGTGCCGCCACACTTCGTCAAAGGAAAGGGACCAATTCTAGATTGAATCTGCGCACATCGTAGGAAGATCGGACAAGAGACGATAAGAGTCCACTCTTGAACCGAACCTGGAATATGTTCTATGGAAAACACAAAATGCTACACTTTGCTACACTGTCCACTGCATCATATTGCCAAATAGGTCATCGAAAGGGCCTGGCCACCGGAGTCCTCCGCAGCTGTGGTGGTGCCGGTTCAGGCAGCTCCAATTGTTGAAGTCTTCAAAAGTTGTTTCCAGTTGTGCTGTGTTTGTTCTTTTTTCGCTGAAGAATTTATGTGGCGACCTCTTCATTCCTGTTGGCGTTTTCACTCGCTCGTCTATTGCAGGTTATTTGATGCAACTCGTCATCAGGACCTATTGAGGACAGCCATCTTAGAAAGCAAAGGTTTCAATATGAGAGAGCTTTTCAACATTGAAGCAATGTCACCAGTGAATCCGTGAGGGCAGAACATCTTCCTTGCTGGCCTATTGCTATGAGATTTGCCAGCGCTTTGCACATTCGATGTGAGCCTTTAAGCAGCAGTCAGTCCAACCGTTCTCAGCAAAGAGGAGTGAAAGAATCATCCGTTGTGCCCTGACAGCCCGGCATGTTTATTTAACAACAGGCCCTCCTACCCCAGTCATTTGCTTGCATCAGCGTGCTCAATTCGTTAAGTTGCGCAACCCTGGCAGCATGCCAAGAGTTTGCAGCATCCAGTCTGCCGCACTCAACTGTTGCGGCTTTGGCTGCCATTTAAGAGGGCTTCACGTAGATGCCTCTCGAGGGAATCAACTCACAAACCGAGTTGTTCACAACTGCTTCCGTGGTGCTACAGCAACTCGACTTGACAGGCACAACCCATGGACCTGTGCATACTCAAACACCTGCTCACATAAGGCAAAATGACACACATTGGTTCCCAACTGGCCCACTTGTGGGGTGGAAAGAGATTCTACCTGTGATCTGCCCTTGCTTGGCCGCATTGCAAGGGTCAGATGAGCCCTTGCACCCTTGATTGAATGGAAGTCAAAAGATTCTAAAGATTGACCACAGTCAGGTCGTGCTTTTGTTTTGGAGACTGGGGACTGACTGTGGAATGCCGGTCACAAGGACAGATCACGGGATATTGCCCGGAAGAATCTCGAAGTAAAGGCTTCGACTTCTTTCCCGGTGGCGAAGCGACGAAGCAGATGGTGTGGATTGGCAGAATTGTTTGGGACCAGTCCTGCAATGTGGAGTTGAGGCTTTTGAAGCGAAGCTGTGTAATTCTATGTAATTATACAGTCGACGTGTTTTGGAGCACCAAAGTCACTTTTCACTAGACTTTCTGATCCCTTCGGAAGCCATGGAATCCAGTGAAATGCGGAGATGGACAGAATTGTGCATTTTTGTGCTGGCAATGCCAGCTGCTCCAAACTGTGAAATCAGTGAGTTCCACGCACAGGTAGCCAGGCGCGGGGCAAGAATCCGTTGACAACCGACTTTTATTTGTACTTTTTTAAAGATTGTGTCCGCTGTCTTCATTTGATACTTCAGTCAACTTGTATACAAAGCGTTTCGGAGCATTGTCGTTCAGCTGTGGTAGCTTCAACACATGCCCAGGGCCTTGCTCTCACGACGATTTGAAGAGTTTAAACAATCTTTCGTTGGAACAAAGCGGTAAACCGATGCAATTCAGCAGGAGAGTTTTTATTCTTCTCTAAGCTGGAGCGAATTGCGACTGTACAGACTGAGTTCCGAAGGGAAGGCCGGTGGAGCTGCGTCATGTCCAGATGGATTTCAGCCAAGCAGCGAATGGAGTTGGTGGTGTTCAAGACAGAGCGACTCAAAGGACAAAGTGGACCCTGAGGAAGCATTTCTGATGTCTTTCAATTGGAGTCCATGAACAAGTTGGGACCAGAACGGCTCCATTGCTGTTTAAGCAGCTCAGTTTGCTGCCTAAGCAATGCCGACGTCAACTGGGCATCGATTCCGGCAGCAAACCTGCTGTGTCCGAAGCCCGTTTCACGATTTTGTGGCCATTGCAAGCTTTGCACCATGTACGTTCTTTGCTTGTTCAGCACACTGAGATATATGAGGTTGCAGCTTATCACAATGAGCCATGCAAATGCTTTGCACAATGTGGAGGAATATAATTCTGATAAGAATGTGTTGTACCACGAGGGACACCCTGTCGTTTGTGCTTTTTCTATGCCATTGTCCTATGCAAGGCTTGCACAGATGGAGTGTTTTTCCTCTTCCACATTTGGAAGCACGCGCCATGCATGGCCAGGAGTTTGGTGGCCGTAGCATTCGCTGGACATAGCCGAATTGCTTAGCGATGAAGACTGCCCCAAGCCAAGGAACATTTCGTGTTGGCATTCATATTCTATTTACCTATTGTTACTACTAGCTTCTTGTTACTGGTAGTAAGGCCGGAGCCCCTAAGGCCCTAGTAGCGTCCTTGCTCCTAGTAGTATGGCCAGGAGCCCCTAGTAGCGAACATTGCTCCCATTCACTAGATCCAAGGTTGATATCAAATGTTGATGTGTTGCTGTGCACCGGACTGATCGTGTGTTCCAGAGAGTCAGAAGATGCGAATTTGATTCGGCGGACATGAATATCCCAAGCAGAAAAGGAGTGCTTCCCAAAGCTCTGCAAAATTCTGACAAATTGCAGTCCATGGACGCCAGAGCATCCAAAAGCTATGGAAGACTTTGGCACACAGCATAACTCAGCATAGCAGCCAAAAGGCCAAATTAAACCATCGTGTGGACTCAGCCATGTTCATGATGTTCATGTCAAGCGGTGGTCCATCCAAGTACTGCACATCACCTTGTAGTACACTTGCATTTGTGAATGGTATTTGGGCGCACAAAATAGAACAAAGATCCAACCATGATCCGCCCTGTTCCGCTGATTTAATGCTTGGTGAATGTCCACAGAAAGTCGCGGTTGGATGGCAGACACTACCAAGGAGGGATTTTTCTCGGCTTTTGGACTTGACTAGACTCTGATGACAATTTGTTTATTGCGGCGTTGCCCAATAAGTTATGTTGTCCTTTGGATAGAGGTATATAAAGTGAGATGCCCAAAGTTTTGATGGTTTCCATTGCAGGTTCGCAGCGTGCAATCCTGCTTACTTTGGAAAAGCAGCACGAAGGCTCACATCAGAATGTGCCTCTCAATGCCTATCCAGACAAGTGAGTGTGGTTCAGGTTGTTCGCACTTTAACCTTTAACCAGAAGGCAAACAGTTGTTCTCAAGGTCACGGATTCAGAACATCCTGTGCAGAGCGCACGAATTTGCCTCAATGTTGAATTTGCATAACAGCTTATAACTATAACAGTACATAATGATCTATGTAAAATCCGCCCGCACAGCTGGAAAATTGTATGTGTTTGATAGTTTTTTGATTTTTTTTGAAATATGAATAAGAACTGATATCGTGCGCGTGATTGTCCGTATGGCTTCGGAGGTAAACGTTCGCGATGCCGGTTATGCAGCTCGGGGGAGACTGTGTTATTGACATCGTGGGTAACTTCGTCCGTGTGTCCTGCCCGACCGAGACAGACAGACAGACAGACAGACAGACTGACAGACCGAGACAGACGCACGCTTTCCGTGCGGGCGGCTTCGAGCGCGAAGCGCTGTGATCATATATACATATATTATGTATATATATATATATGTGTGTGTGTGTGTGCACAGAACCTTTGCACATAATGAACTTGCATGCTGCACCTTGGAGTCACACATGCATTGAAACAGCTTTCCAATGTAGCCAGAGAAAAGGCCTTACTCTTCAGGCTTCAAGCTCTAAGAAAAACACAAGCATGCCAAGCGTTGAGATTGTATCTATCTTTGAATATCTTTGTGCAAAGCATTCATGGAAAGGCACCAGTAGCAGGCAGCTGTAGCTGGTGTTTTGGGGATATCTCCTGCTTTCCACAGGAGCCAATGCTTTGTCAAGCTCATGCTGGTTCCTGTCCCTTCGGTGATCATAAAAAGTACACTTTGCAGGCCTAAGGTCAATTCGAACCCACGTGTTCATCACGCTGTACTGCAAATTGTTTTAAATGCTGTGATACTGATGACATCTAAAGATGAGAAGATTATCCTTTCATTGCGACAGAAAATTTGAGGTGTTGACAAAGCACCTACTTCAAACATGCGGCTTGCAGAGATTGGAGAGGCTGGCTCTTCAGTCTGTTTTGCACCTACGACGGGTATACATTGAGGTACTTGAGGTACACAAGGATTCCTGACGAATGAATAGCATAATTTCTGAAGGAAGCAAGAGATTATAGTTATTTCTATATATGTATGTATAATGTTGGGCCTTCTCCAGGAACAAAATGAAAATATGGTGAGCAGTTGTACACTCTAGATCTCGCATGGCCCTATGCCAGCTGCGCTAGATATGCAGGATGCGCCTGCGAGCAGTGCGCGTAGAGATGGCCATCAGGCATGCCGGGATCAGGTTGCTCAGAATAAGTAGTTGCTAGTTTCGACAGGCTCGATAAAGTAGTGAAGATGCCATAAATTTCAATATGTTTTCAACACGGCGGAAGGCAACATAATAAAGCAGGATACAACATGTTTCTTAATTGCGTTACTTCTTTGCGCTTTGGAGGCCACAGTGCGATTCTTGGGGGTGCAATTGCCAGAAAGGCGATTGCAACGCCACACAGGAGCCTTCAAGATTTTGGGCTGTTTGACAAAAATAAGCCCAAGTAAAGTCTGAATGCTGTCTTCAAAAGTGTGACCACGCACGCATCATGCGCCCACACATGTGCACGCGCAACAGCGCCCACTACCAGCGAGAACCAGCAAACCTGCTCCGGAGCCCGCTCTGCAGTCTGCCAGCAAGTCAGCACAACAGCATGACCTGACGTCAGAACCTCAGCAAACATCTCAGCGTGACACCACACAAGCATATCAGCCGGACAACGCGAATCATGTCAGTGCATCGGCATGGCAAAGGGCTCCAGAACTTCCACCAGACCCTCATCCGGTCTGCAACCTCCTCCAGTTGTTCGGGAAATTGCTCCGCGTCAGGGGTGTGTGTCCAGGAAGCGCAAATTTGCCTGCAGCTTGCACTTTCGGGCTCTTGGGGCTGCAGATCCAGACTGCCTGACGCGTGTTCTAGCACAAGCGCAGGAGGTAAGCTTGGGCTGAAGAACTCACTTGCGGCGATTCCCCGACTTCAAACGCCAACCTTCTACGCCGCTTTGGTGAGCGCATAGAGCTTCCGTCGCTACAGGATGTGTCCATGTTCAGGAGCTGCAAGTTTGAAACGGGCGCGTGTGGGTGAGTTTGGCCGCGCGTCACGCCGAATGAGGAAGAGTGTGACACTGCTAGCGGTCCGGTGTAGGCGCCGGCTCACCTTGAGGCACGTTTTCTGGGCAGCAGCAGACGCGTTCCCTGCAGAAATGGCTGGTCTAGGCGGCTGGTTCTAGTCTTTCAATCGCTCTGAGCAACTTGCGTTGGTTTAGCGTTTGGAGTGGCTGTGTAGACGTGAGGGGCCCCGATCTCCAGTCTATCTGTGGCTTGGAAGGTTTAGCGCAGCTGATTTTCAGCCGGAAGCAATCCAGCGGAAAATCACAGCACTCCATCAAGCTTTCATGTCGATGGGCGGCAAGATGACGGAGGCCTTGCAAAGGGATTGGGCAGCCTCCCGTCCTTCGCCTCCCTCAACAGAAAGTGCCGAGCGGATCACGATCCAGAACGCTGATTCTCCAAGTTCCGGGAAAGCACCGTGACATCGACACCTACTTGCATGAAGGAACCTCTCGGGCGCTGAACTCCTTGAAGTGGATCACAGCACTAGGCCTCATGTTGGAGCTCTTGGAGGGCCGCGTTGAGGCAATGCAGCGGGGGTGACCTCCGTTGGACTTGCCTTTTTGGTTCATGGCTCATTGCCACTGTATGCCTTCGATACAAACACTTGCAACGCAGGACCGTGCGCAAGGTCACTGCAGCCTTAAAGGTCTGCCTGGCTAATTTGGTCTTTTGTCTCCTGGAATTTGGTCTTTTTGGCTTCTGTGTGTTTACAGAATGACTCAAGTGTCATTGGGTTCCAGTGATGCCATTAAATATTTGCCTTGACTTCTTCCATGGCCACTGCCGCATGGGCAAGCAGAAGAAAAATCGTGAAGGCTTCTATTAGGCCGCGCCTGCTGAGTTCAAGTCTGGTTGGGCGTGGACCGCCCCTTGGTTGCAGCAAATGCATACAGCTGGCAATTTATTTATTGAAGCTGCCGGCCCTGGACACGCAGGCGTTGGATGGCGTCGGGGGGTTGGCAGGAAAAGAACAAGATGCGGCTATGCCGTTGCACTATTCCTCTGCCGCCCTCAGCCTGCGAGTGAAGGCCCAGGTGCTGTTCTGCACGCATCGGGCCGAGCAATATGGCATCTGGGATCTGACACGCTGGACCGCAAGGCCCTGTTAACTTAGGTCTCGAAGGAAGCGTTGAAGCAGCGCCTGCGGCTGAACCGCACTCTCCAAGTGGCCCAGAGGATCCAGGCTCGCAGCTTGAAGGCTCTGCCAACGCCACGACAGGTGAACGTCCAGGTGATGACCCCCAAACCTCACGCGCGGACAAAAATCTTATTCAGGGTCGCTCCATGACCGTTGAGAAGCAATGTGGGTTCTTTTAACCCGTGGCGTGCTTGTGGCAAGCGCCCAGGACATGAGCGCAGGTCGAAGGAATTCATGAGTAGGCGAGCGCCACTACACCGCCACCACCGTTACCTCAACACCGGCATCACTTCGTCGACCGACTTCCGACAATCTTGAAGAGAGGCTGTGGCTCTTGGCAGCCCATGCGAGAAACGCCTTACGCGGAGGCCTTGCTTTGGAGGCACCTCACCCAGGCTCCTAACAGCTCAGCAACTTCCAAGCTGCTTTTTGGGTAGGGCTGGGAGCAACTCACTCCACGCACAAATTTGCACCTTTGGTCGGGCGTATGCGATCAGGCGATCCGGTGGTTCAACGTGAATAATTTGACAGGTTGACGGGAATCTGCTCTGGAACTTGCTGCGGAATCTGCTCCGGAAGCTCCACTGGAGCCTCTGGCTGCTTCGGAACTTGCCCTGCTCCGGAACTTGCTCCGGAATTTGCTCCAGAACTTGCTCCAGAACCTCCTCTGGAACTTGCTACCTCCGATCTGCTCCAAAATCTTCAGGATGGCTGAAGACCCCTAAGCTTCGCTGTTGGAAGAACAATGAGCGTGCGAGGGGGCTCGAGGGCAAAGCTCCATTGACCCCTCCACTGAGCCACCTCAAACTTTTCAGTCTGCAGTCCCTGTGGACAAGGCCTCCGAGGCCCGGCGGCCTCGGCTCATACGGGCCGGAGGGTGTGGGAAAAGTGGTGCTGCAAGACACACAATGTATCGCAACAAAAAGTTCTATATATATATATACATATTGTAAAGGCAAGAGTCCGTCAAAGAGGAAGGGCTCAAAAAGTCCCATTGTTAGGAGACACGCATCCCTAATCCAATTCCGCGGTTGAAAAAGAAAGAAGCTATGCGACAACTCTGACGAATAATTTCAGCGAGCTTCTCACCTAGACAGAACTTGGCAAACTATTTTGTTGTTGTGGCTTGACCAGCCTGGCGCGGGAATGCCAGGATCTTGCTACTCTGCAGCCTGCTTGGTGAAGCCCATGTCTTCTTGTCACAGCGCCTTCGAAGCGATACTGTCCAACATCTCGCCCTAAGGCGCCAGCTAGTGGTGTGGAGCAGGAAGCATGGGTGGAATCCGCCGGAACTGTACCGGGCCGGAAGCCTAGCACCAGCGTGTCACATTCGCAGAAACTCAACATCCGATTTCAATGCAGTAAATAAGATAAGTCAATGTCCATAGGTCGCCTGATACGTTTTTGCAGCTCACCGTCACCATGATTTACTTATTGCTTAGTGCGACCACACCGCTTGGCGAAAAAGAGCCTAGAAGGCTCCAAAAAAGGCACAGAAACACAAGACGGAAGAACATCAAGCAGTCGAGCAGTACGTCGTAGTCATAGTTGTCGTCGTCGTCGTCGTCGTCGCAGTAGCAGTAGCAGTAGCAGTAGCAGTAGCAGTAGCAGTAGTAGTAGTAGTAGTAGTAGTAGTTGTTGTTGTTGTTGTTGTAGGAGTAGCAGTAGCAGTAGCAGTAGGAGCAGTAGTAGCAGTAGGAGTAGTAGTAGTAGTAGTAGAAGTAGTAATAGTAGTAGTAGTTGTTGTTGTAGTAGTAGTGGTAGTGGTGGTAGTAGTAGTAGTAGTATGAGTCATTGTCGTCGTAGTAGTCGTCGTAGTCGTACTCGTAGCGGTGGTTTTTGTGGTGGTGGAGTTGTAGTATGACAGTCGTAGTCGCAGGTCGTAGTCGTCGTAGTTGTAGCAGTATGGGAGTATAGTCTGGTGAGTGTTCCGATATATATCTGGTTGTTAGTTCTTTGTGCACGTAAAAACATACTTTTGACCCACGTGGCCTTGACGCAGCGCAAGTGTCGGACAAGTCAGGCTGGATCTCTCTGAAAACATGTCCAGAACCTTCAAGGATCCAGAACTGGCCACGATGTCTACTATCACCACCGCCACAACTACGACCCGGCCACACCACTGCTGCTACCATCATTCCTACTTCTGCCGCTACCACCAGCTACCACCATTGCTACTTTTACGACTGCTACTTCGCGCGCCCCTGATTCTTTTTCTGTTCCTAGTTCTGATAGCACGGCCACGCTACTACTTGCTACTTACTACTTTCTAATGTCTACTTTCTGCTATCATATTTACTACTTGCTCCTTACTACTTACTACTTACTTGCTTACCTACCTACTTCCCTCCTTCCTTCCTTCCTTCCTTACTTACTTACTTCCTAACTTCCAGGCTTAGTTACCTAGTTAGTTATATAGTTTGTTTGTTTGTTACTTGCTTACTTACTTACTTGCTTGCTACTACTACTCCTACTGCTGCTGGTGCTGCTGCTACTGCCACTACGACGACTGCCTACTGCGGTTACCACGGCCACTGCGCACGCGACTGTGCTGCGTTCATCAGCTTGCACCCAAACGGCCATTTGCGGTCCAAGCTGCATCCCACGACGCTGGCAGCCTGGCATAGCAGTGATTTACCCCCCAGTGGGCAATCGTCAAAACCGCACCCAGTTGCTGCTGCAATTTTGCCCCGTGTCATACCAGACGTCACTTGCGTGGAAGGCACGGACTTTGCCAGCCAACTGCAAGAAACAATGGGTACTCTTGATGACATCAAATGGCGGCGCGCAACGCCACTGGGAACTTCAGTCCCTATCCAATCGGCGAGTCCGACATTCAGCCAGTCATGGTGGTGGATAGGCCCGAAGCTGTGACTCTGTGACGCAACAAACCGACCATGCCATTGAGGATGGCTGGCCTGTTGCCCTTGTGTTTCCCTCAGTTTCCGTGTGAGGGTGCACATCGTTGCGTGTGCATCCCTTCCGCCTCTCGCCCCGGTTCCCGACCTATCTGTATCTCACACCAACTCACGCCAACTCAACTGACCCCTACTCATCTCACATCAACTCATCTCACACCAACTCCTCTCACCAGCTCAACTCACACCTCACACCAACTCCTCTCACGGCAACTGATGTGGCACCGAGGGGAGCGACCCACTTGCTTGGCGTGCTTCCAGGACACAAGATCACCACGATGACAACTACTGCTACACCGACACCGACACCTAAATCTACACAATACAAGCGGTTATTTCTGAGCTAGACTTCCAAAAAGTGAGACAGGAAACTTCATTTTGTTCGAGACTTCCTCCAAAAGTCAAGCTGTAGTCGTATTTGAAACGAGCATGTCCTACGGGACTTCCAAACCAGTCCCATTGCCACGAAAGTTACCATGCCATGCCTTTTGCATGTTTAGCAAAACAGCATGCATTTGGAATGATTTCGACACCACGGTTTGCTGCTTCACCCACTTCACTCAATATCGCAAATTTGACTGAGACATCTCTCGAAAACCCAGCTTCGAGCAACGCACAGCGACGTTCAACACCTCCAAAAGACCACCCTCCAAACGCACATCCCAAAGGCATGGCGAAAACTGCCGACTTTTGGATACACTGTGCCTGCGCAGTAAGCTGACACGTCACACTCAGAGAAGCACGAACCTAACACGGCGTCCTTCCATCCAAAACCTCTTCCAAAAGCTTTCCCCAATGAAGAAACCCATCGCTACGTATACGCGCTCCGGAAACAAGCACCATGCAGCACAGAAACGCACATAAAGGTGCTCACAGCAGTCAAGCATGTGTGTCTCCATCAGGTGTGCCCTAAGCATGTCCCTCCAGCTGCATGGCATAGCCGAAGCCATTTTCATGATGGTTTAGAGTTTAGAAACAAACCCTCATTTTCGCATAGTTAGGCATCCTGCTTATATTGTCCATCCTTATCCAACAATGCATGTCACGTTTGTCAATGCACAAAACGTTGCTCACAGTTCAACACCATGCCTTTTTTAAAGTATGTCTAATGTTGGTTTTTTGATCCGCTCTCAAGGCTCCATCGCCAGGTGGCTATCGAACTCGCAACTGGAAAGCATACAGCAACGGGTGAATTTCAATGGTCCCCCAAGGTTTGGTGATTTCATGTTTGATATATAGTTATTTTGTTTCATTTGGGTGTACATGCTCGACAGACGGGCCTGTTTTTCACCGCCTCCATGGGTTTGTGGGAAGCGGCCGCTGTGGCCCTTTCGCACTTTACCGCTGGCCGACCAGTCAGAACCGCGAACGACTTGTCGCGACCACTGCGATGAGTGCACGACGGTCAACCGACTGTCACTGTACGGACCGCCCGCCGTCCATGAATGAATGAATGAATGAATGAATGAATGAATGAATGATATATAGGTATTTAATGTTGCTTCATTGAAACTTATTCCACGGTCTACAGGCAAGCAATAGATCTCCAAACGAAGTCGGTCGCTGGGGTGATGGCCAACCTCCATCTCCCAATTCAGGCGCCAAACTTGCAGTTGGCCCTTCAGAAGGGCAGGCCATCATCGGCCTTTTTCGGAAAGGCCGGCATTGCAGCCAGCTGGAAGAATCCTTGGAACCTCTATATATTTCAGGAATCCAACCCAGCAACACAAGTAAACAATGTGTTTTGGAAATGAGTGCGGTTGTGTTTGACTATGCCACGTTGGTTCGTTTGTTGAGTTGTGCCTTTTCTTGAAAAATGTTGTTGCCAATCCAGCCAGGTACTTTTCAAGTTGCCAGGCACACCATGATCGCAATCTTGTTGTATTCTAGTATCACAAATGAGTGTTGCGGTTTTGCCAATTGGAGGTGTCAAGGCTGCCGCGCCAATCATCCGGTTCTCGCAGCTTGGGCAAACAGTGCTTCAAAACGATTGGTGGCTGTCAAGACGACGCCACGAAGTTTGTGTGGGCGTGTTTGCGTGGAGCAAGCAAAAATTGCAAGATTGTATCCACAGTGACAAAGTGCCCGAAAGTTGCACCATCTCCCATCACCTTCCCTGTCCTTCCGAGGATGCTGGACTAGAAGCACTGGAAGAAGCTCTTGAGATGCTGCCAAAGGTTCCTTCCTTCATACATTCCAAAAGCTGCTGAGCATTGCATGCAACATGTCAGGACAAACAGCTGGGGGTAGCAGCCATGCATGTGTTCCCCAGAAAGAGAGCAAGTTGCCTCCGATTCTAGTCAGAGTCAACGCAGCTTCGCCTTGTGCGAAGGTGCGGCCATTTGATCACACTGAGCCTGCCTCCACCGAGCCAGCATTGCGGCATATTGAACTTACAGTCGAGCGGCCAACAGGCAGTTTGGTCAAAAAATTGTATGAGAGGCTGAGTCAAGAGTGCCAGAAATCTCACGTGTTCATGCGTTTGCAATGTCGTTTGTGCACCATGTTACTGCTTGTGCAATAGTTGTCCAAGGTCTTATACAGCTCGTGCTGCTTTGGAACGGCGAGCGTGGGTCATTTGCTCCCGGCTTGGAGACCCAACCTGAATTTCCTGGACAATCTAGGAATGGGTTGCAGGTGTTCTTCAAGGAAGCTTCTCCCGCCTGCGGGTGGGAGAAGCCTCTACTGTATTCTAGATTCATAGTCATTCTGGAGTAGATACTTAGAATATTGTAAAATCCAAAACCAATGGAAAGCTGATCATACTCCTGGATGGACCTCTTATAATTTCACTTGCGCAAAAATGAGAGCTTCTTGAAGCATATTGATTGTTGGAGAAGCGAAATCGACCGCAGAGCTCTGAGCCAAGGAAGACCTGCTTGAGCATTTGTGGCCTTCGCATCAGACATCAAGCAATAAATGTGCCTAGCCAGATCAAATCAATGCATATTTAGCCGACTATACCAATGTCAGTGTGTTCATCAAAACTCGGGTTTTGTAACTGGTACGATTTTGGATTGGCTGAAACCAAGGGCATTCAATCCTGGTTCACTGGCGAGAACCTGATCCCAGCCTTCAGAGAGTTTGATGCCAAGTTGTTTGCTTCCCAGTTTTCAAGAGTACCAAGTTGTGTAAAAACTGTGACGTTGCGGCAGGAGATGCGCTCCAAAAGCAAACATGCTTGGGAGCAAAAGCGTCCTAAAACTCGTGGAGGCTGATGCGGAGCAAGGACGCTACGAACGGAGCAAAGGGCATCGCTACGAACGGAGCAAGGACACTACTAGGGGCTCCTGGCCTTACTACTAGGAACAATGTTTGCTATTGGAAGCAAGAAGCTAAGAATTAGAATTTGGAATTAGAATCTAATTTAGTTAATTAGAATCTATTTGAATTCGAACAAGAAGCTACTAGGATGTTGCTTGTTCACTGCGAGGCATTGTTCGAGCTACCGTGCTTGAGACCTTGGATGGCTTGCCATTTGAATTTGGTGCGAAGAGCTTCCAACAGGCACCAAACCGGAACTTGGTTTGGTTTTGGTTTTACTATCCCTACATGTGAGTGTTTGTTCCAGGCCAACCTGGTTGTTTACGAGCAGATCCTTCGTGATATGAAGGTGAGAGGTGAATTTTGAGAGTTCAGACTGCCGTCTTTTCGCGGTGCAAGTACCAGGCCCAAATGCAGATAGCCTTGGCCACCCTCCAGGCAAAATGGCAGAACCGTTCTGAGAATGTTGTTTGAGACCCAAGCATATGTGATGTCAGGATGTTTGTTTAGTCGCTCCGGAGTCCGGTTGTTGCAGATTCCGCATTTGTGTTGTTGTGTGGAGGCCAAGCCCCCTCTACGTTTGCCAGAGCTTTGTGGTGGTGTTGGTGTCATTGGATTAAGCCCGGCTCACGCAGCCTCTGGAGAGGTGACTCTCCTCAGCACAGTCACCTGGCGAAGCAAAGCAGACGTGACGTGACTAGCAAGTTGAAAAATTGTATATTGTTGGCACTAGCAGATGAGCTCAAAGTTGGTCTTTGGACGCTTGCAGGATGTGAACCCCGAAAGCGGAGAACTCTTCCAGCTGAATGCATCTCGCTTGTTTGGCGATCAAGAGTTGCATGGCAGGAATCCATTAGAATCCGAAAGTACACCAGGTCACCGCCTTGAGCAGATCAGCAAACAAAAAGACCTCACTGGCATACTGGCCAGTATCGCACATTGGATCCAACCAATTGAATTCAAGTAACAGCTTTGTACACTCTCCACTTGTCAAGTGCATTCAGATTTTTTGCTCATAGTTTCAGGCTGGTTTGTACCACCTTTGCTGCCCTTTCAGCAGCTGCAGCACTCCAACAAGGCGTCGAGTCTTTGGGCGGTCCTGCCGAGGCACACAGAAGTCATGCAAGAAAGTGTTTTTTGTTGGGGTAGGAGGGTGGCTAATATAAGTATGATGGTAACAAGTAGGCAATAGCTACTACGGTTAAGTAGCTACTACCTAGGACGCAGAAGGTCTCAGGCTTAATGATTTGGTTTCTAGATTTTGGGGGAAACTGCTATAATTGTAACTATGATATGAGCTTGAGATATCCTTGTCACACATTGCCACCTTTGCTCACATGTTTTCTTTATTTTCCTTGTCTTCCGCATGGTCCAGGTTCTAATTTTGGACCCGCCTCGCCGTGGTTTGGGATGTCGAAGCTGGCGTAGTGGTCTCCCTGCTGGTCAGGAGGAAGTGGAACAAATTCGTCACAGCTGCTTGGAGACAATGTCCTTTTGGATTCCCCACACCACAGCAGGCTTAGGCCTTAGGCAATGTAGAGGTGAGAGGGACAAAAACAGGGCCTTTGCGGAAGTCCGTATTCCAAGCACGTAGGGTTGTTCTGACATGCCTGGGCAATCAAGGGTGCTCAGAAGAACTGACAGGTTCTGTGCGTGTGATCATCTACATGAGTTGTGGACCGCGAAGCTTTATGCAGGCACTTGTTTGTTCCATGGAACATGAGTACACGCACGCGGTTGACCAGTCCAGCCTGCGCAGGATGCTGATAGGTTGACGAGCCCGGGTGCCACACCTGCTTTTCAACTAACTTGGCTTCGCTGCTATGACATGTCACTGGCTGAGAAGTCTAAAACAGATTGAAAAGAACCACATCCAGGTTGTCTTTTTTGCACAAGCTGCCGGCCTGAACAGCACCGGGCTGTTTTGATGTTCTTTAGGGTAAGAAAACTTCTACAGTAGATTTGATTCCCAACACCCTCGAGCATTTTTTGCTGGTTTCAATTTGACAGACATTGCAAAGGAAAATGCATGCGGAGGAGTCTCAATGAGTTTCAACCGCTTGTCAACAGGTTTCCATTCACTGACCACCTCGAAACCTTGGGAATCTTCGCCCGACAAGAAGAGACTTGGAGCATTGAGACTGACTTTCATCAGAAAGAAACACAAGCATCGAGACATGTGTATTTTTGCCGGAGGCCCGCCTTCCTACTTAATAAATAGGAGAGTAAGCTACTATATAGGCCAAGTTAGCTTCCAGGTGGGACGCAGGATAGCTCACGCTTTTTCAAGGAAGCTCCCCCCAGGTGTTTGGCCCAAAACCACTCGCCTTACGCGTAGGCACGCGCCGGGGCCCGCTACTTCTTCTCAGGAAGAAGGGTTGGCGTCTATAGAGGCTGCTCCCTGTGGAGAAGCCAGTGCCATGGCCACTAAGGAAAAGGTACATGACCGAGGAATGGTGTCGAGAGCTGGATTCATTGATTGGGCGACGATGGGCTTGCCAGACCCTTTGGCTTCCTCTGCCAGAGATGCGTTGTGGGCAATTGCCACTACAGGTGCTCCCAAAGACGATGGTGAGGACTGGACCTTGTTCGGTGAAGTGTTGGGGCACAGTACTGGACCACCTTTCTGTGTCTCTCTTCGCCGTGTCTCACTTTTGATGACGTCAGACGCCATGCCTTCAGGTGCTCAATGGGAACATTTCGACCTGATTTGCCCAGTTGAACACAAACGAGTAGACTTTGCACCAGGTATGCTGATTGGTATCCACACCAAGTCAGTCAACCGATCCGAACCATGTAAGGTGGTGGCTGATGAATCTGTCCCTGTCTGGAACATTTCCTCCTTTGACAGGTGTCTAGCCTGGAACGTGACCCATCTTTTTGCTGGAGCCTACGAAGGGTGGTTGCGCTCTATGTGGTGTGCTCAACAAGCGAATTTGGGCCTATCCTTTGCAACTCACACCTCTGCCGATTGGTGTCCTGAAGTGATGAAAACATGGGGATATAATCATGGACGGCCGGTCCAGCAGTGTCCCATTCCGGTGACCTACAACCCGGTTGAGAGCATCAATGGAATCCTGGCTGATATTAGTGATCTTACTTTGCTCCGGGCATCAGCTAACAAATCGAACCTGTTGATGACGCTTTCACCCCCATGCCCAAGCTGGAGTAGGGGGGGAAAACATTCAGGGCTTGCGACAGATGAGGGATTCTGTTTTCTGGATGCCATTGAACATGTTGCCAGAGTCCGCCCAGTGCTGGCTCTTTTTGAATGCTCCGACGGCATTGAAGGGCACCCTCACTGGAGAGTGCTATCTGCCGCTATGCAGCTTGCTGGGTATAGCAAAGTGTGGTCACAAGATGTTGCTATTCATCAGATCACGTCCAACTTTCGCACAAGATGGATTGCAGTCTGGGTGAGGCATGATATTCCCTGCAAGAAACATGGTGAACGCTTCCTTTGCCCTACTGACCGTCGGATCAACTGGGATGATGTGAAGCATCAACACTCACTGCCAACCTCCTTGGCTGCTGATCTTATCCTGCAAGCACCACAATTGCAAGTCTACGGTGATCGAGTGCTCCTGCCAGTTGCCAAACGCAGTCGTGATGGGAGTGACATGACGATGCAGCAGGTCCTTACGCAGAGGCTAGTCCAACGAGGGGAGGTTTTGCCGACACTTTGTGCCTCATACACAGCCCAGCACCTCCTGCAGAGGGACCATCTCGAAGCCAAGGGCCTCTTTGCCAGTTCGACGCAGCAAGAAGGGAAGTTCTGCTTCATTGATCCCTTTACATTTGTGACATTGTTTGGGACAACAGACTCTGTTGCACTGCCAACGGTGCTTCGGAAAGCATTCCATCAATTAGGCAATGCTATCTCACAGCTACACGGCCTGATTGGACTATTGGTTGGTCTTGAAAGTGTGACTGGTGAGTCTTTCCACAAACAGGCTCTTGTTCAGCAATGTTGGGAGGATCGGCTTACTGCTGAAAATGCAATCATTCGAGTTTGCGATGACATGTATGTTCTACAACCGGTGGCTGACTTCGTGGCCAAAGCCTTGCCTAGCATTGTGACATGGCAGCCGTGGCTGTTTAAACATACTCTGATCCGCTTCTGTGATGACGCCACTCTGGTCCCCCTCAATATTGATGAGAACCTTGGGGTCATTGACCAGCTTTTGCTCAGTTTGGATCTTGGGAAGCATCATGCTCACAGTGATCGTGCGCTTGGAGATGAGGGCGCTCTACCCAGCGATGTAATCTGGAGTGACATACCTGCACACCACCTCCAGGTGAAGATTGGCTCCTACAATTTGTGTACCTTGCAAGTCCTCCATACAAGCACCACTGATCCAATTGACGATCCTATTGTCTCCCCGACCCAGCCATGGCTTGCAAAAGAAACTGACCTTGGGCTGGACCAGTTACAAGACGCCCAACAAGCAGGCTTTCTTCATGTGGCAGAGTACTTGTGCCAAGATGCTGCCCCACGGCATATTGCCAAGATTCTCCTCCTCCAGCAGGATGGGACATCTGAATGGATTAATGACGCCAATCTTGATCGTGTTGGGAGTATTCCTGTCTTTCAGCATGGTGAGAAATCCTTGCACTTCTTCAAGGTCAACCGAGAAGCCTGTCAGCAGTTGCTAGCCATCCACATTGTCATGGCCATCCAAGGCACTTATGAGCCTGTTCATCCGGACAAATGGATCCTCCTTGCTGGGGGCAGCGAGCTTCGGTGGTGCAAGATATGTCAGATCCCTCGCACGCTGACTCCACGTCAGTGTGATATGCTCCTGGGCCAACAATGCCACATCACGATGCGCAACACTGTAGTTTGTCGGGCAGATGAGCCGCTTATGCTCATTAATGCAGATGTTCTCTGGAGTGACATTCGCGTTCATGACGTTGTCCCCATTGCCTTTGGTGGGATGGACAGACTCTCTGAAAACCCAAGTAGCAATGTGAGCAATGATGATGTGGTCGCGAGACTCCTCCAATTCAACTTGGAACCTGGGGCCGTGGCTGTGGATGAAGTTATCTTTCACTTCGACATCTTGCAAGTGCTTATGCCGTCGATTTGCTGGTGTTCGCCCGGTTCCTGGGTGAGCACAGAGTCTCAATTTCGTCTCCCTACACAGCCAGTAGACCTCCAGCGGCGCTATCAACATTTCGTTGTTCCCATCTTGGTGGTTTTCGACTGGATCTTTGTTGAAGTCCGCTTTTTCGAAGGCCAGTGGAGAGTGTTGTACCACTCCCCGGAGCAATTGACCATCAGGCAAACAAATGCTGTTCTTGAGCTGATCAATGTCATGGGGATCCCTGTTGCTCCCAATGCTTATCGATGGATCAGGACCACTGAGGACAATGACCTTGCTCCGTGGCACACACTACGTACATTCTATGCCAGAGCGGGTGCACCCTTGCTTCCCGAATCTCATAGGAGTCTTCAGCGACTTCAGCGAACCCAGCACACTCAGCACATCATGCAGATCCTTGACCAAGCTGACCTTGTCTGGCGTGACACGCAAGCTGAAGACAGAATGGTGCAGCTTGCAAGAGCTTGCAGACAGGCTTTTCTTATGGCTATCATGGAGAGTCCTAGCCGCGCTGAAGACTTGCTGCGTAGGGCCACAGGACGCCCTTTGCCAGTCTACGACATTCGAGAGATCTTCTTCATTGCTGATGAATGGCTTGAGATGCGACTCAACATCTACCGTACACCCAGGCTGGGCCACCAGTGATGAAATCGAGTTTGCTATGGGCTTTTTCATGCCAGAATCAAGAAACGCAACCGGCCTGGCCCAAAAGGCAAAGGGAAACAGCGCAAAGGCAAAGGGAAAGGTCGCGGAGGCGGCAAGGGCAACGCTCAATGAGCTCCACCCTGGTTTCACCCTGGTTCGGGATATCGTAGACACACACACACACCAGTTAGGTTTGACAGCCATCACTTTGACTCTAACGTCACCGACAACCACACGACATGCTTCTGTAGCGGCACACGTTCCTCCTTGTGTTGACATGATTTCATCCCGGACCACTAATCTAACTGGAATTCACACGTTTCACCACCTTGACGCCATGTTGGACGATGGGCTGCGGATTTACAACTTTTGAGCATCTTGGTTCTTGCACTGGTTTCTTAGGCAGCCAACCCAAACATCGTAGTCGTTCGTTCGTTCGTTCGTTCCCTCCAGTGCTACATCATGACCTTTCTCTGATTGCTGCCGGAGTCAAGGTACCCTGCACAGAAGTCCAGCGGTTTGTGGCCTTGCGGGAAGGTCATTGGATCGGGATTGAGGTTGTGTGTAATTCGGTGGAGCACACTTGTCGAGCGGTCTTTCTCCAGGTCCCTCCTCGAGATCAGCAATTCTGGCATGATTTTGCGATTGACTACATTGTGCCCTTTGGGTTCCGGCCCATCATCATCATTGACACCAATCGAACTCGTCCTGGAATGTGTGGATGGGAACTTCTTCACAGGTGGCTCGTTGTTGATCTTCATCTTCCTGATGCCTTCCATGTTCCCCAGCAGAAACGCCAGATTATTGATCAAGTGATTGCCGAGTCTGAACCAGCATGGCGAACTGCAGGAGCCCCTCCAATGCTTCGCTCCTTTGCAGAACACATCAGGAGATTATTCCTACTTGTGGGTGGTGTCCATGCTCTACAGCCATGTTCGGCGGTGTCTCTGGGTGGGATGGAGGGACAGGCCAGTACTGACTCCCCCACGCAGGCCGTGGATCCTTGGCAGGTTGATGACCCCTGGAAAGTCAAAAAGAAACCAGTGAAGCAAAGCAAGTGGCTTCAACTGTAGTCTGATCACCCGTTCGTGGCGAAGGATAAGACTCCAGTCCCATTTGTCCAGAAGCAGCAGCTCTCTATGAACCGAGGGGGTATTGCGTTTGTGTCCAAGGGCAACCTCCAACAGGCC